AACGTTTTAATTTCCAAGACCCTCAAAATAGGGTGATATCATAATATAAATAGTAATTTATATTTCCCACTTATTATCTTTGTAATAAGTAAATTTATTTATTTGTCGGCACACGGCCCTTCTTATGTATCCTTTTTCATTTATCATTTGCACAACCCAACCCTTGGGTCCTATTATTTCTACGGGACTTGTTACCGCTGTCCGAGACCTCCTGAGGCTCCCGGTTCGGACTCCAACATCCCGCCCCTGGACTCGTACCCATCATCCCGTAGGAAGGTAAGGCCCTTCGGGTTCCTATCTTATGTGTTACCGCTACCGGAACCTAGTTAGGTCTCCGATTCGGATTCCACCCTAACACGTGATCACGATGTAAGTCCATGCTATCCAACCCCGCTCTCTAGAGTCGGGAAGGGCCATGGTCCTTACTATTTCCATAATTCAACCGGCTATCCACAAGGACTACCGAACACACCCGTAGGCCAATCCTATACTTAGGATCAATTTATTATTTACCTTATCTTGGGTATCCCTTAAGGCCTACCCCTAGTATAACTTAGAGTTCATACTTTCCTACCTTAAAGCATCTCTTAAGACTACTTAAGGCATAACATTTCACAATCCAACCTTAGGATCAATCTTAACAACATTTAATCTTAATGTCCAACTAGTATCTTAATACTAGTCAAATTAATATCAACAACCAAGTTTCCAACTCATAGTCATATAGACAATTCCAACTGATTTTCCTTTGAAAATATCATTTATCTCAATATCCAAAATATCACTTTTATTCACTCATATATTCTAATATGAAGAAAAAGTATATTTCACCTCATGTTTCATAATAAATTCCACTTTCAAGTCAACATACTCATAACACATGAACATACACAATTTATTCCTAAATTTGTATATCATGCTCCTTTTTCTCTAGACATTTAGTCTTGTCATTTTTTAGGCATTATTAATCATTAATAATCCATAAAAACACATTTAATTACCTTCGGTAATCTCATGAAATTAACTCACTAATTATAAGCAATATAGTCAGCCATCCTCACCTTATGAAGTGCTGAAATAGTTGCCTTTGCTAAGCCCCTCGATCAATCCCCGTTCTAGGCCGATTGGAGATGAAAAACTGAGCTGCTGGGCAAAAGCCGGGCGGCTTTCGTGGTCTGCAGAAACGGGCAGCTCCCTTAAAGTGGCGGTTTCCGGCGATTTCGACTCCTATCGATTCACCAACTCTTCTAAGTTAAATGTCACCACTTTATATCAATATTCTACACTTTTAAACGTGTAGAACATCATGTTTAATCCATCATATGATTTCTTACAAATCATACATCATAAAACTAGTTAAAAAGGATAGTTGAGTTCTTACCTTCTTCCTAGCTAGTTTCCACTGAGATTTTGCTTGCCTCTCACTTCCTTCAAGCTTGAACTAGATGAGGAGTTGCTGGAGCTCCTCTTCCCTCTGAGTTGGCCGAATTATTGTAGGGAGGTGGGTGAAAGGTGCCCTCCCAATCACCATATATTGTAGGATAGGAATGGGGCATGTGTTTTTGTCTCAAGGAGACTTCTCAACCCCCTCCTACGTACTACTCAGCCAACTAACCCACATAAAAACGTGGGGTGGCCCCCACTCATGTGGGAGGTCATCCCATTATGCCCCGGTGTGTACAATCGGCCCCGAAAGTTGTATTTCTCGGTCCGTTTTAATCATATTTTATTTTATCGGGCCAAATAAAATATATCACGCGTTCCAAATAATTATGGGCCTTTAGAATAGATGTATATTCCCCAACATTAATTTAGGAGTCTCCGAAACTCGCTTCGGGCTGTTATCCGTCAAATTGCCGATACCGGTAATTGGGCCCCATCTGACCAACCGGTCAACTCCATGCCTTCCTTATGGCTCAAATAAAATATCCACCACCATATACATATTATCTAGACCCAGATGAATATAATATGTGGTTCGGGAATCATCGGGCGGTCCCCGTTCCCGCTGTGGGCCCCACATGCAATTTACTATTCACGTAAAAGAAATAATAACAATTTACAATTACGCAAATTCATAAATCATCTTTCAAGGTTTATTACATAATCTACTAAAAGTAAATATGCTCGGGGTCGGTGTTACACCAACAATAGTCCCCCTTCGATAAGTTGACGCGTATGATACATGGGTCAGACCGTTAAGCGGCAATTTGTCGAAATATTGAAAGAGCTTATACTTCACATCAAGGTTCAATGCGCCTATTGATTCGTCAACGACTTATCACGACGTATTGATCGACTCGTCTGACGAAATGCTTCGGTGTTTCTTTCTGGTAACTCCTGATCGGATTCATCGAGGTTGCTTAAAATAATGAAGAATGAAAGCCGACCTCTTATCTTCTTTCCTTCAAGATTGTGTTGACAACAATGAATTGGAACTTCGTCCACAACGATGTTGACACTTCGATTGGAAAAGGGAACTTCGTTCTTTACTAGAGATGATGAGTTGGGTTGCATGAACGTAACCAATATCCTGCAAAAACTTTGAATACTAGGTTGTTTGTATTTTAGCAATATTGTCGACATGAATGTTTATTATTTATGTCAATGTTGTTTGTACGGTCTCCTTATGTTTTGGAGTTGTTCGTTGTCATGCTCTTGGAGCACATGCTTCTGTTGTGATGTCAATTGTATGTGTATTGTTGTTGTTTTGGCCAAAACATTATGGAGAATCAGTGACGTTTATACTCATGTTTAACGTACATGAAAACCCCACTTCTTTCCCTAAAATTCTGTAAGCCCCTCGTCAATTGTGTTTTGACGTGTTGTAAGGCTTTGTAAGCCCCTTCTCAATTGTGTTTTGACGTGTTGTAAGGCTTTGTTAGCCCCCCGTCAATTGTGTTTTGACGTGTTGTAAGGCTTTATTTGATGTATGTCAGGATTCCGTCATAGTCGCTTGTTGATTGTACCTGTATTTGCCAAGGCTGGTCGTTGGCTATAAGCCAATGGCCCTCTGATGCTTAAGTTAGTGATCATTTATATGTAAAATAAAGAAGTAAATTAAGATAGAAACAAATTTAAATGTACTATATTTCGGCTTGTCAAAAACCTGTATGTCGTCTTAAACTTTCAACCAATATGTCTTTGTTCGACGATTTGAAGCACCTCGTTGAATCATTCTGTCCTACATTCAAACTTGTCAAAATCTGTCTGTCATCTTGGATCTTCTAGCAATATGTCGAACCATTCTATCCTAGCTTGACGACTCGTTCATTTTGGTCTTGAATAGGATTTCCCGTGCCCCCGTCGTCAAACTTGGAACTTGGAAGAGATCTGTTTGCTTCGTCGGGTGGAAGGAGATTGTGTCATGTTTCTGGTTTTGACGTTTTGAGCAATAGGTGATCTATATTAATAAATTTACTTACCTTATACAACCTTAGATTCTGAGGACGTCATCTAAAAATGGCTGCATGTATGACTGGTCCGTCATAACTTGACATTGTTGGCCGTGTCAACCTATCAACCGTCAATATTATGGTCAAATGCACTAACGCGATGTCACCATCGAGTTCCAAGACTCGACACGTGTCTAGAACCAGTAGATCGTCGGCCTATGTGTTCTTTTCCCTTGACACTCGTTGAATGGTATGTCGTCGAATCAAGCCATTACAATTTTGACTGGAGTAATTTCAACCTTAAATCTTTGACAATGGTTAGACTCATAATGAGTTCTTCATATTCAACTTCGGTATTTGTGGTTTTGGAATCGCAATGAGTTGTTCGTGGAATATTGCCCCCTTGCGGCGTTTTTTGAAGGATTTTTGATTTGAGTAGAACTTACCCATTGCTTTGCGTCTGAAAATGCGCCTAAGTATCCAACAACATAAGGAAACTCCAGAGGTATATTTCGATGAAACCATCACTTCGTTTGTGTACACTTCTACGGTTTTTCCGGTTTGATTTTGAACGCCATCGTCACTACCCGTCGAAAGTTGCCCCCTGCATTCTTAAGTCCAAGGTTTCGTTCAGTTCAATGAGATGAAACCAGCGGTGATGGTTGGGATATGATCAGTCGACAAGACGATATGTTTCGTTTCTTCCTTCATAGTTTTCGATTCCATCTTGAATCCCGCAATTGACGTTGAGTTATGATCTTCCATGGATGATAGTTTTTCTTGCAAGAGGCCCAAATTGACGTGTGATAAAACTAATGACTAGTGAGCAAATAAGAGTAAAGTTCAGTATGTTATTCGAATATCAAGCTACTGATTACAATGTGGGGATATCCTATTTATAGGAAGGGTAGTTAATGTTCTCATGATTGTTTTGTCCGTTACTGACGGGTTGGCCGTCCGTTATGACGATTTCGAATCTGGCATAAAGGTTGGTCAATTACAATTAATACCATCCTTAATCACATTAAAGAACCTAATAATACATAGAAAACGTTACAATAATTAAGTTTAAGGCTTGTGAACGCTCCATTAATTCATGCGATCAACCCTCTTTAATGCCACATAAACCGTCAAATTATTGGTCCAACAGTGTCGTTACTTTTGCCTTGTATTTGAGTCATTCCTGACCAAATATTTCACGTCAGCCTTATAATCTTTTTTTAAAATATAGCTAGACTTACGTTAAAACCGAGATTACGAGATTATTAACAGGTCGTTAAGATTTATCCAATTGCTTTTTATAAATAGACGTATTTATATGACACTTTATTAAGTACATATTCTCATGTAACGATTTCATAATAGTAGAAAATCTTATTTTACCCTTTTCTCTATTTTACACGATGATTTAATTGTCTGTACACAAATAATTTTTGTTTTGTGAAGAGAGTCGTCTTTTCCATCGACAAAAAATGTGTATATGTTACAAACAAAAAAAATATATGTGAAAAACGATTTTCTTTACAAAATTAGAAATACGTTTATAAAATGTTGTGTACAAAATAGGATGTACCCCAAACATGATTGCTTTTCTATAAGAGACGACTTAATTTGCGTGTAAAATGGGGTGTATAACTAGGACGATTTAACTTACACGAAGGATAATTGCTTTTCAATATACAGAGCGCGATGAAAGTGACCAATGGAATTAAAGCACGAGGGGGGACGTGTCAAATCAAACCTGCAACAAACTCGCCATTTTCGTTGTAACAGTCTTCATATCATAGCAACACTCAAAACGCACGTGACGGAAAGTTTAGATCTTAATGTCGGATAAGTCAAGAACAGTTAGAGTGAGTAATATCAGGCGAGTCCAAATACAATTCACCGCTGGTAAAAGTAAAAACCCACGTTTTCCTCGTTCTCAAAATAACGAGTCCATGACCTTAGAGGCTGACTTATTATAAATATTAAAAACACGCCTTTTTCTCCAGCTGAATCTTGATCTTGCTTTTCAATCTGGACCCAGAAATCATGGGTTCCTCCGGATTGGGGTTATTGATTTTGGTTCATTTCCTGTTTTCCGCCAAACCCATTTCATCAGCAGGCTTAGAATGGAGGCCGGAGGAGATCCCCAAGAATTTCTTGAAATCGGCCAAGGAAGCTGAGGTGTTTGATTGGATGGTGGGGATAAGGAGGAAGATACACGAGAATCCAGAGTTGGGGTATGAGGAATTTGAGACGAGTAAGCTGATAAGGGAGAAGCTGGATGAGTTGGGGATTCCCTACAAGCACCCATTTGCTGTCACTGGTGTGGTTGGGTATGTTGGTTCCGGGAACCCTCCATTTGTGGCTTTAAGAGCAGACATGGATGCTCTTTCTATGCAGGTTTGCTACTACTGCTTTTCCTTTATTTCTTTTCTTTTAAAAAAACTACTTTGAAGTTTGAACTTGTGTGGTTTACTGATTTGTGAGTTTTTAGATTATACTCCGAGGTATTGTTATTTTACTGCTCTTAAAATATTCTGTATATTTCTCGTTCCTAGTACACCATGGTGCCAGTCTGCCAGACAGCACACGTGACATAACATGGGCGTAGTTAGTGTTAAAAGGTCTGTCAAATAGCATTTCTGTTAAGGTCTTTTAAGGTCTTTTCAATGTGAGAACTGAGAAGTTTTATACCTCCCTTAAAGTTTTGGCCAAGTTTGACTTACACTTAATACAATAAAGTAAAAAATTTGTACTTCAGATTTGTGAGAGAAATTACTTTAACTACATACTACCCCCGTGCAAAGCAGAGAGAAATAAGAACTGTGTGGTTGAGATTTGTGCAGAGGAGAGAAAAATGTGCAGAACCACAATTTAGTTGCTTTAATAGGAAAGTGGAGAAGTTTTTTGGGACAACCAAAAGGGGAAAGTTGTCAAAGTTCAATGGGATGGAGGGAGTATTTATTAATTTAAATGGAAATGACAAAGTTTTTGGGATGACTTAAAAAGAAAATTTGGAAGAGTTTTTCTTGGGATGGAGCCAAAGACTCGCCTTTTTGGCTTGAGAATATGATGGAATAAAGCAAAATGGCTCACTAAACTGTTTGCACTTCTTTTTTATGAAGCAACGGTCAGTCCATGTACTTTTGGACGCGATTTTCACTCTAGGTCATCCGGAAACAGTCTCTCGATGCTTTAGTACAGGGGTAAGGCTGCTTACATCTGACTCCCCTACCCTACCGTAGGTGGGAGCCTTTGCGGCACTGGGGTGATGATGATGATGACGACAGAGGGTGTATGAAATTTATCATGCACAAGTTTTTTACGGCTAAACCCAGATTTGAATTTTCATGGTCAGTAGTAGATGGGCGGAAAATCTTTTTGGGCTAAACCAAAACAATGTCATGTCTGATATTTGGCACCATAATGTACTATTGGATGACATTAGAACAGGATGAGTAGTTACTACCCTAGTCCAATAAAGAATTCCGTTTGCTCAAGATATAATCATTTGACTTTGCTAAACAAGAACTGCTATAAATAATGGATTTGCTTATGTCTTATTTGATTTTTTGTTGATTCAACTAATTTTTTTTGAAGACTAGACTTGTATGATTTATAATTCTTTTGGGATTAAGGCTTGGATGTTGTTGTTGTTGTACTAGATTTGTATGATCAAAGATGATTTTTTTAATCAAGTGTCCCACTTTTGGATTGTATTGGCTAGCTAATTGTAGCCATTTGAGTTGTTATGTTTCATAGGGTTTTATATTTTTCATAGGAATTGTTGGAGTGGGAGCACAAGAGTAAAGTTGATGGAAAGATGCATGGTTGTGGACATGATTCACATGTTGCAATGCTTCTTGGTGCTGCCAAGATTCTTCAAAAAAATAAACACATGATTGAGGTTAGATACTATATCATTGATGATATCTGTTATAATGTGTGCTTCATCAAAATATTCTTTTGGTGGATTTATCTGATATCACTCAGGGGGAAGAGGCATTGCAAGCTATTTCAATGGTTTCCATTTAACTCACATGGTGTTTATCTCAATCAGCCTTCGTGTGTTTCTGTCGATTCAATTTGTTAAGCACATACATTGGTTCTTCTTTTGACCAATTTATCTTTAGAATTACGTCAATTACCCTATCCCTAACCTTTCCCTTGGTTTTTACCACAAAATAAACAAGAAGTACTCTTATATCCCATTTGGTAAGGATTTTGCTGTTGTTGCTTAAACAACTGAATCTGCTAAATATTCTGAAGGAGAAACATTTGGCAAAATTAAAATAAGTTATTTTTCTTATAGGGTACTAATGCTACCGAACATGGCTTTATATGGCCGAAGTGGATGTTACCAAATGCTTTCTCCAAGAAAGTTCAGCCATTCAAACATTTCATTTCAGCCAAACAACGCCTACCAACCAGGTTTTTCTAATTGATATCTAACAAATTGTTAGTGCAATATTTTTACAGGGAACGGTTGTTCTGGTTTTCCAACCAGCAGAGGAAGGTGGAATTGGGGCTAAGAGGATTCTAGATGCTGGTGCGCTAGACAAGGTTGAGGCCATCTTTGGTGTGCATGTATTTCCTAGCTATGCTCTAGGCGATGTGGCAGCCAGAGCGGGGGCCATAGGTGCTGGAAGTGGTTTCTTTGAGGCAGTGATAAGCGGGAAAGGCGGTCACGGTGCTATTCCTCAGCATGCAATTGACCCAATTCTCGCTGCTTCAAATGTTATTGTCAGCTTACAGCATCTTGTCTCCCGAGAAGCTGATCCTTTAGACCCTCAGGTAATATGAATTGCTTTTTGATCCATTATACTTCGAATAAAAAAGGAAGGGGAGCCTTGACACTCTGGTTAAGGTGTTGTTGTGTGACTGAGAAGTCACGTGTTCAAGTCTTGAGAGCAGCCTTTTGTCAAAATTTGATTGGGGATGGTTGCTTCTTATAGTGGGACCCTTCTCCGGACCCTCGCCTTGCAGGCATGTCTTTGTGCACCGGGCTTCCCTTTTTAATACTCCAAATAAAAACTAGTAAATATCCAATGCATCAATTTGCTACCCTAAACATTTGTGACGGTTCGGAATGGTGGAAACAAATGCTGCTTTCAGCATTTACTGTGTAATGTGTTAAGCCGAGACTAAAATAAGGACCAATGGTTACATGTAGGCTGCAACATAAGAGGCAACAACACCGTATAGGCTGCTACCACTCTCAGATTCATGCATTTCTGCTTTCCTATCTCTTGATAGTCATGCTTCACCATATGATTTTAGTCCCAACTTCTGCTGAAATATAGAGTGAGTTTGGTATTACCTTTACAATGTGATGAAATGTGAATAAAAATATATTGAGGTAAAGATTGCTTCTTTTTAAAATCAAATAGCCAGTAATGTTGTCAAATGTTGTCAAATGATAGCCATGCTCCACCATATGATTTTTAGTCCCAACTTCTGCTGAAATATAGAGTGAGTTTGGTATTACCTTTACAATGTGATGAAATGTGAATAAAAATATATCGAGGTAAAGATTGCTTCTTTTTAAAATCAAATAGCCAGTAATGTTGTCAAATGCTGGCTGGGCTTTGTTGTTTGGAAACGATTTTTGACTGGAGGTTTATAAGTTATTTTTAGCGTGTAGCTTAAAACCTACAATGCTTTTAAATCTTAATGAACAAATCAATACGAGAAGTAGTTCAAAACCTTCTATTGTTGGTTTGGATTTTCAAATTCTATCAATATACGATGACTTATAAAGCAAAATGGCTCACTAAACTGTCTGCGCTTCTTTGTTATGAAGCAACAGTTAGTTCATGCAATTTTGGACGAGATTTTCACTATGGGTCATCCGGAAACAATCTCTCTGTGCTTTAGTACAGGGGTAAGACTGCGTACATCCAATCTCCCCTTACCCCACCGTAGGTGGGAGCCTTTGCGGCACTGGGTAAATGAAAATGATGAAAAAATGATCAATATACGATGACTTACCATCTAACCTCTAGGACACATTTGTAGGTAGTGACGGTTGGTAATTTTCAAGGAGGTGGCGCCTTTAATGTGATTCCCGATTCTGTTACTGTTGGTGGAACCTTCCGGGGATTCTCAAGGGAGGGATTCGCACATTTGAGAACACGCATTGAGGAGGTTATGCTTCAACCTGTGACTAAAAACTATTACTACTGTGAATTAAAAAAAGACAAAGTTATCTCAGTTTGGGAATTGTGTCCAACAGGTAATCGTACGACAAGCTGCAGTTCATAGGTGCAATGCGACTGTGACCTTCGACGAAGACACAAAACCATTTATTCCTCCCACCATTAATGACAAAGGGTTGCATCTCTACTTCCACAAAGTTGCTTCTGATATGCTTGGGAGTTCTCATATCAAGGAAGCTGCACTCATGATGGCTAGTGAAGACTTTTCATTCTATCAGGAAGTGATGCCAGGTTATATTTACTTGCTTGGCATGCAGGACGAAAATGGCGATAAACTTCCATCACCACACTCGCCCTATTTTAAGGTCAATGAAGATGCCCTCCCTTATGGTGCCGCCCTCCAAGCGTCATTGGCGGTAAGATACCTTCTTGACCACAACCCGGAGGCTCCATCCCCAAATGCAAACAAGCATGATGAATTGTGAGGGTCACTGTGAGAGTCAGTAGATCATAGTCCTCATTTCTTGGTGTATGTGTTAGCATCTGTTCATGAATTTTAAATAATGTATGGCGCTTCAATTGCTTCTTTTATTTATTTATTGAGGGCTTTCTTGATCATTGTCTTGATGTAAATTAAGCCATCTTTCAAATCTCAATTAAGCTTCTCGGAAGATCAAACCTTTCGTGGTTTAGTTGCCCAAGTCACATTTACAACGGTAGGACTTTTCCAATCATTTCCTCCGTGGAAATTCACCCTTTCACCTAAGGGTGGCCCTGGGTTGGGTCGTGCTGGGCATTTTTTTAAATGGCTTTTCGAATTTATTCCTACCCCCCACTCCACCCCCAAACCCCCTAAAATCACCCAGTCCCACCTGCTTTGCAGCCTATTAATTGCGAATTTTTTTAAAAAAAGGGCCCGGACCGGTCCAGGATCGGCCGGGCCGATCACATATTTTCTAGACCCGTAGCGCGCCCTCCAAGCGTCATTGGCGGTAAGATACCTTCTTGATCACAACCCGGAGGTTCCATCCCCAAATGCAAACAAGCATGATGAATTGTAAGGGTCCCTTTGAGAGTCAGTAGATCATAGTCCTCATTTCTTGGTGTATGTGTTAGCATCTCTTCATGATTTATAAATAGGGTACTTCTACGGTGCGTCAAAATTAAGTAGGTACCTAGTTCAAAAGTACACATGCCATTTTATTAATAGGCCGTATATGTTTTAGCATGCATGCACGTGTTGCTGCCTTATTTGCCCAACCAAGGAAATGTACCAATACCCCCCAGAATTACTACATGCACCATAGAATTTCCCTTATAAATAATGTATGTATGGCGCTTCAATTGCTTTTTTTATTTATTTATTGAGGGCTTTCTTGATCATTGTCTTGATGTAAATTAAGTTATCTTTCAAATCTCAATTAAGCTTCTCGGAAGATCAAACCTTTCGTGGTTTAGTTGCCCAAGTCACATTTACAACGGTAAGACTTTTCCAATCATTTCCTCCGTGGAAATTCACCTTCACCTAGGGGTGACCCTGGGTTGGGCCGTGCTGGGCATTTTTTTAAATGGCTTTTCGAATTTATTCCTACCCCCACTCCACCCCCAAACCCCCTCAAACCATCCAGCCCCACCCGCCTAGCAGCCTATTAATTGCGAAAAATTTAAGAAAAGGACCCGGAAAGGTCCAGGATCTGCCGGGCCGATCACATATTTTCTAGACCCGTAGCGCGCCCTCCCCTATACCCGGTTCGGGCCCCAGTCTCGGTCCCGGTACCGCCCGATCCGGCCGGACCGGGCCACTGAATTACGCTTTTACTCGTCGTTCTAACCCCAAATCTTAGAGAGCCCAAACCTCTATTTCCCTGACCCGTTGCCCCCTTGCCCCCGTTTGGCTCTTCCTCTAAGGGGTTGTTGTGTAAAAAGTGCATAATGTCCGGATAAAATTTATGCAAAATTGACTTACACGTGAAATAAATCATATTGTAAAAAGGGGTAAACTATCAGATAGGTCTATCTATTTTTACCAACAGATACATGGAGTCCTTGTACTTGAAAGTGAATCAATCGAGTCCACGAAGTGTCAAAACTCAAAAATAGCCACATTGGCTTTTTAACCGGTAAATCTGCCGATAATTGCATTGCCGCAAATTATATTGAAACCGCTAGACTATGCACACGGTATACCGGTCCCAATACGATATCATTTTTTTGAGGGAGATTTTCCTAAATAGGACTAAATGAAAGGATAATTGCAACAATAGGAGTTTAATGTTTAAATTCCCAAAATAGAACTAACTTTTCCTATTCTACCCTTTTTCTTGTCCTTCATAATAGGCTTTTTTAAATAATCATTTTAAAACATAAAAAGTTAAAATAAATAAATAAAAAATCATAAAAAATAAATAAAAAATATATAGACCTCAACCACCACCTCAACCACCTTCCAACACCGCCACCTCCGATCACTGGAAAAGTTTGCCAAGTTGGGGGGAAAATGTCATTGTGATGGCAATTTTTAAATGAAAGCTGGATATTTTCGAAGTGTAAAAATGTCATTTTCTTTTTAAGAGAAATGTGGCATTTTTTAGATAAGATGACATTTTTTCCGGCAATCGGAGGTGATGGTGCTGGGAGGTGGGGGTGCGGAGGTAATGGCCTACATATTTTTTAATATTTTTTAGGTATTTTATTTTATTTTATTTTTTAAGATTTTTTAAAGTTTTTTAAAATATTTTTATTTTTTTTATTTAATTTTATTTTATTTTTTCCCTTTTTTATTAATCAATAATTTTTTTTACGATGTTTATGTTTTATTATAAATAAAACTATGATTTTTGTTATTAATAAATAAATCTATTAGAAATTATAGGTTGAGGTAGAGTAGAAAGAAGAGACATATATTACTCCTATTTCGGGAATAAAAGAGTATAGTTCTAATGTAAAATTTTGGGCTATTTTTAGGCTCATATTTAGGGCCAGTACCCGTTTTTTAATTAAAAGAACCCAAATCTTCTCTTATCCGACCATCAATCCTTCTTCTCCGTCGATTTTCCAGTCATTTCCTTCTGGGGCCGGCCCAGAGAGGCTGCATGCCTGCATGTGCAGCCTCACAAGATCCATTATTTTGGACAACCATTCTTGTTATACTCACCCTTACAGCCACATTATACCTATCATGTTTGTGAAGGGTTTTGTCTGTGAATTCGGTTCACCAACAAAACATGTCTTATTTTATCTGCGTAAAATTTGTATAGACATATCTTGTTTGTGAACAAGATGTACGTACAAAAAAAGCCTTACAATGTGAATATAAAAGGGGTATTTTGGAAGGGTGGGTACAAACGACATTTTTGTATTCTGGAAGCCCCGCAAAACTCTAGTAGTAGTTCTAAAAGCATCTTCAATGTTACATTGTGCACGGTTCATATGTGGCATGAGAGATAACCACATAAATATTAGCAAATAAAGTATTTCTCTCCTTATTTGATTGGTTTTATACAATTTTGGTAAATTTTTCTCCACAATGTCAGGAAGACCGTCTAAATGTTGACATCATGATTGACATTGCAGAGAAAAACTTACCAAAATTGTATAAAATCAATCTAATAAGGAGTGAGATAATTTATTTGTTAATATTTATTCCCCCCGTCCCATTGGGCTTTGATAACTTTTTATTTTTGGTTGTCCCAAAAAACTTTGTCGCTTTCCTATTAAAATAACTAATTTGTGGTTCTGTACATTTCTCTCTCCTCTGCACAAATTTTAAGCACCCATATTTCACTAATCTTATTTCTCACCTACTTTGCACTTGGCAAAGTCCATCGGGACGAAAGGAATATGTGACTATCTCTCATGCCACATGTGCACATGCAATGCATGCACATTCAGGGCGGCCCAGGGCATGGTTGCCCAGTCCAACCGCGCAGGGCCCAAAATTTTGAAGGGCCCAAAAAAACTATTGGTATTACTTCAGCCCAAGTTTACAAACCTTCTAGCGCCCAGAACTAGCCATCCGCGACCCATACCTGCGCAATTCGGCCATTTGGAAATCAGAAGGCCGTTTGGAGACTGGAACAACGGACGAAAGACTCCTTAGACTCGCAAGTCGCACCAATGAAGGAGGACCAATGAAACCTCACACCAATGCCAGGTCTGCCAACGCCCATTGCGCCGCCCACCGCACTCCGCCAGTCGGCCTCCACGGCTCCACAGTCCGGTTAATTTCAGATTTTCAGCTTTTCCGATTTGTTTAGTTTGCTAATTATTGTGAATTGTTGAATTATTGAATTGTTGAATTGTTTGTGAATTATTGAATAGTCGAATTGTTCTAATTTGCTCATTTTCATATTTTTCAGATTTAATGTTTGTTGCATTGTTGCATTGTTGTTATTTGCTGATTATTTGCGGTTAAAGTAAATAATTAGTTGAATTGATAATAAATGTGTAAATGTGTTTTTCTTTGAAAAAAAGTGTAAATGTGTTTAACAAATACTCCGTAGAGTTTAAGAAAGTGGTATTTTAACTCAATTTACTTGTGTTCCAACTTGAAAAGAAAGCCCAAATTTTATTGAGGGCCTCCATTTTCTCTAAGCTGTTAACCGCCGACGCCAGCCCGCCACGGGCCCATGGCGCTGCCACCCCACGACCCCCGCCTGTTGACCGTTCAACAATTCGACCGTCGTCCGCACACTCCACAGTTCCGAACTCGGCACTACCGGTAAGAACCATAGTCAATAGCAGTTCACACATGAATATATTTGTCTTTTTCCGCGGTATAATTTGCGATTTCTTTTACCAGTTTCTACGGAGTATGTGTTTTAATTGTTCTCTCTTTTTCCTTTTCTGTTTGGTTCTTTTTTATTCTTCTCGTCTACTCTGCTTAGGTGAGGCCCCTCCACCGCCAATCCTGTGACCATATCCACTTCCACCACCCTTACCTCCATTTCTGCCGCCTTGCCTCCATATCTACCGCCTCCTCCCCCTCCGCCCCATAGAACCAGCCGTACCCTCTTCCTCCTCTCCCACAGCGGCGAAATTGCCCGCAAGAAATAATTCTCCGGGAATTTTTTGGATAATAAGGTAAGTAATCTTTTGAGCTTATTTTCAAAATTAATGAATTTCAAATTAGTCTTAGGGTTAAATTGATTTTATCTAGATATGTTTTCCTCGTTAGAATTGCAAAAGGTTATTTTGAAGAAGAGTTACAGACATAATTTTAGGGGTTGCTGAAGAAACAAAAAAAAGGAATTTTGTTTAGGTATGATAAAATGCTAGAAAAAACTTGAATCGGTGTAGAGAAGAAAGCTGTAGATAAAGAAGAAAGGGGGAGAACAGTTCTTCTCACTTGGGAGAAGATAGTGAAGAGAGGAGGTGGCGGTAGGATGGGATTAATATTAAAACGAACCGTTAGTCCAGTTTGTAAACAGATTCACCTCTTTGGATTATTTGTATCAATTTCTTGAGTAGAGATTGTTACCGTAGAATCGCTAGAAGTATGGATTATTGGGTTTTGTCTTGCTTAATGGGTATTGGCTCACATTTATGATGAAACCAAACATACAATGTCAAACTTTACTCATCTATTTTGAAGTTGAACACACAATTTTTCTAACCAAATCCGCAATCACACCCACAGTTTGGCCATAATATGACTCCCAAAACTCTTGTTACTATCAACTAGGCAACTTTGGCTCACAAGGATTGTAATTTCACGGAACCGAAGTTTTAAACAGAATAAGTTCATTTGAACTGTCTTCTAGAAAAGATGTTGCCATTGCGAAATTTTACTTTTTGCATATAGGGACTCTCTTAGAGATGGAAGAGGAAACAATGAGTTCAGCACGCCGAATGTCGACGAGGTCTCGTAAGGTTGCTCCTAAAATGGCTGCAGCACTTGCCAACAGTGACAACCGAACACAGGCAAGCATCTGTTAGCAACAAAATCTGAATTGTGTCTTTATGTTGCTGCAATAAATTTTAAATCTATTTCTTTTATTGTTTGAGATTCAAGACCGATATTAAAAAAATCTAAACTAGTTCTTTTAGTAGAAATAGAATGTTTGAGCTTGAATTTATTCAGAGCTAGTCTGGTCATGGTGTGACTGTGTGGGTATAGGCGATATTGGCACGCCTAGATGCTTTGGAGAGTGACAATGGTGTACTGGAGCCAGTGCAACTTGATGAAGATGATGAAGCTTCCTTAGATGAGGAGGATCAAGGTTCATTCACTCTTCCTTTCTGCTTTCCTTCATTTTTTAAATCTCTAAAGAAGATTAAAATAACATTATTTTCTTTTATTAAAAGGCATGAAAGTAAAATATAAAGTACATTCTCTCTTGAAAAAGTAGTTGGCTTAGCAGTATTGTCTTACTATTGAATTATCTTATATTCTATAACTTGCAGCACATCAAAAGAAACAGTCCAGAGGCACAAAAAGGAAAACACGCCAAGCCAAGGCTCTTGAGAATAAGAAGGCCCCAAAGTCATTCCTTGAGCTCTTGAAAGAGGTATGACACAATGATGGATTTTGTCTTGATCATTACGGAATTTCAAATGTGGCTCAGGTTTGTGTGTTTGTTTTTGGGTTTTGATTGTTCTTTGCGATAGGCAAACTTAGAGTCATTGCCTCCCCATGTGCCTACCTACTTGAGAGCAGCTGTGGGACCTCCAAGCTCAACTAGCCGACGTCATTTTTGCACGGTTTGTGGATTCTCTGCCCACTATGCATGTGTGCAGTGCGGGATGCGTTTTTGTTCAATCCGGTGTCGGACTATACACAACGATACACGTTGCTTGAAATTTGTTGCATGATTACAAGTTGAGAAAGAAGGTACATATAATTACATGCACGGTTAGTACCTCCTTTGGAACGGTGGCATCGTGTATTTTAAGTAGACTTGACACCCCAGCTCTAAGACATTATTAACATCAACATCCAAATCTTTGAACTGAAACTCCCTGTGCAAGATTTCTTTTTTGTGCATATGTACCATTGGTATATGTTGATCCATGAATTGTACAAATCCGATTGTAATTTTAGTTGAATGACAAATGAGTTTTTGGCTTTGTATTTCACTTTCTCAATTAGCAAATGTGCTTTTTTCTGCCTTAAGTTTTTTCATCAGGGCCGCGGGTGTAGTGGGACCAGTAATCTCAAGATCAGTAAGATCAGTAACAAGGTCCCCATGTGTTTCATAGTTGGGGGTTAAGCCGCCATAGTTGCAAGCGCAAAATTAGCATTCAAAGCGCACTTTAAGTTCAGACAGCGTAGAGTACAATCTAAGCCCATATGCCTTTCTTTCGTACTTGCACACAGATTGTTACATGTACTGTAATAACCACAAGATCAGCAATCCTTGAAAAAGATTTTTTTCAAAATATTTTGATGAGGGGGTGGTGAATGGGTCTGAAGAAGAAGTGGATGGATGCCAATCATGCCATGAAAGGGTAGACCTCTCACCGCTGAGAGAGGATAAGTGGAGAAAAAGATGAATATTCTAAATGCAAAAAAAAAGTGTTCAAGCTCTCGGTAGAAAGTAACTGAAAGCCTGAAACTGCCATGCTTCTATTTTCTAAACAGTTGTGGTTTGATGCGATTTTGAAGTGTTTCCTAGCCGATTGCATACATGATTATGAAAAATATCTGGTAGGGTACCAAGTAACCCAACTGGAATAGACCGATTTGACCCCATTTTCTAAAAATGGAATTGATTTAAACGTAATGTAGTCTATTCTGAGATGATCATGTTGGAGCCGTTTTGCTAGGCAACTTGTAAAAGATCATTTCTTAATTTACCAGTACAATATTTTCCAACAATTTTCAAATTAAATATGTAAGTGCTAGATTACGCCTCGTCTGCTGTGTTGTTATTTACCAATGTCGTGGCACACACATGGATTGTCACGTGTGCGCCACGTTAGTGAGTGATCAACTGACATGACAAGTAACCTGTTAATTGACTCGATTGAACATTTTTTTAAAGTTCAGGGATTTGATTGATTATTTTTAAAATAGGACATAATTGACTTTTACGTAATGGTATAACTGTATAAGGACCAGAATGACAGTTTTCCTCAGTTATCTCAAGCTTACCATATGTAGTAGGGAGGGGACCACCTCAGCACCAAACCACCCATGTGGAGCGAGGAGCCGAGGAAGCTCAAAGATTCTATGCACAACCAATACACATTGTAATTTAAGTTTTGGGTGTTCAATGCTTTTTTACAACTAGAAACTTAAAGAGAAATCGCTCAATATAGGAGTAAACATAAACATAATTGTACAAATAGGAGTAAAATTTAAAACTTCCTTCAATAGGAGTAAACATTAATTTTGTACTCTTAATATCCCTAACCTAGTTAATTCTAAAAAAAATCGAAGTTCATTCACTGGAAACGATACCTTTATGCAGGCCATTTAATTTTAAAAATAATCCAAGTTCATCCCAACAATATTAAAATATTAAAAATTAAAAAGTTATTTTTGTAAAAATAAAAAACTTTAAAAATAAATAAAAAATAGATAATCTGTATTAAAAAATATAAAAAAATTATGCAGACCTTTCCCGCAACCTCGGTCATCACCCAACAACGTCACCTCCAATCGGTGAAAAAAATGCCATTTTATATAAAAACTGCCATTTTTCTTTGAAAATGCCATAAATATGGCAATTTTACTCTTTGAAAATGCCAAAATTTCTCAAAATCTACCATCTTTATGGCATTTCGGGAAAATGTTGGCATTTTTTTCGGTGGTCGGAGCTGAAGGTGGTGAGAGGTTGTTGAGGCGGCGGAAGACGCCTATATATTTTTTTTATATTTTTTTCATTTTTCATTTTTTTTTAATTTTTTAGTTTTTTATTTATTTTTTTATTTTAATAATTTTTATTTTATTTAATACGGAGTATATTTTATTTGATATTTTTTGTGTTTTTTTTTGTTTTTTTAAATTTTTATTATAAATTAATTAATCTTAAGGAGTATTTTTTTTATGTTTTAATTATTAATGAAAGTTGTTGGAGCTTGGGGGTTGGATAGGGATATACTTGTCCAAACACTAAAGTTACTCCTATTTAAAACATGGTACTCCTATTTTTGCATTTTGTCTATGATTTACTGCTATTTGGGGAATTATCTCAAACTTAAAAGTAATAAACAATTATACTAAATTAACACATATGTACATACATGTCTCTCAAAAGTTTGGGTGCTCATGTGAATAACTTAGATCAAGAGTGGCTCTGCCACTATGCGCAACATGGTGGGGAAGAAGTGTTCATCAGACTTTGGGTAGTATAAACGGCTAACTTTATCTTAACTAGGACCTTTTATGCTGATAGGTTGGGTTGCCCCATATTGGTTGCACCTATCAAGTTGCGTCTGGGTCTTGATATTTACAAATAAACTATGCTGAAGTTATACCTCACGTAGGGATGGACTCGGGTCCGGGCCGGGTCCGGGTCGGGCCTAGGCCCGGGCGGGCCGACGGGTCAGAAATGGTGGACCCGGGACCGGCCCGGGTAACCACCGGGTACGGTCCGGGTCCGGGCCCATTATAATTTTTTTTTTTGTTTTCCTCTTCCTAATTAACCCCCTCCCACCCCCAACCCCCAAACCACCCCAAATGGCCCAAAATACCCAGCCCAACCCAAAAATTTAAAAAAAATTGAAAAAAAAAAAATAGTTTTTGGCCCGAACCGGGCCCGGGCCCGGCCGGGTCGGGCCTTGTTTTGGGTGACCCGAGCCCGGACCGGAAAACCCACGGGCCGGGCCTACCCGGACCGGTCACTGACCGGACCACCGGGTCGGGCCGGGCCGGAACAGTACCGGTCCCGGGCCGGTTCCGGGTCGGGCCACCCGGCCCGAGTCCATCACTAACCTCACGACTGTGAAAGATCCGCGACAAAAACTCTCAATCGAGCCATAAAAATCCAGATAGATGTAAAATCGGAGAAACAAAGAGTGGTGATCGACTCTTAGCCCAACAGAGATACTTTTGAGTTTTTTTTTTCTATTTTTCTGTTTTAATTTTCCGTTCTCTAATTTTCTGTTTTAATTTTCCGGTTTTTCTATCTCCAATTTTCAATTTTCATTTTCCAGATTTCCACTTTCAAACCTGATAACATATTCATCAAATTTTTTCACTTGGCTTTGGGACCGGTCGGAAGGCTGAAAGTACGGTCCCAGTCCGAAACCGAACCTAGTACAATCCAAGTAGGGTCCCCGGTACTAGTCGGTCCCAAAGGCTATATTGACTAATTCTTTTCCATTTTTCCTTATTAGTTGACAACCTAACGGCTCTTTTGAAACTTTTGAGATTATAAAAAAGTGGGGATCGAACTGCCAGATCGTCGATCGAACATGGATCGTTGGATCGTGACTGGACTGAACAAGGATCGTCAGATCGTCGATCGGATCAAACAAGGACCGCCGGGTTGTTGACCGAACAGGACTGCCTGGGCATCGACCGGACCTGACAGTGACAATCTGGTCACTGACCGTACTGGACCGCTGGGTCATTGACCGGACCAGATAGGAAGAGCCAGGTTGTTTACCAGACCTGACAAGGACCATCGGGTTGTTGACCAGACCTAGCCAAAACTGACACCAGAGCGGGACAAGGTCCACCACTAGACGTAAGTATGCAAATTTGGAGCAACACTGCACCATCCGTGTATTTAAAGTTTGAAAAACTAGTAAAACTCACTTCTCAATTTGTTAAGGAAAATAAAGACATTCTCCATAACTATTCCTGTTTTCCTTTCTCTAATTTCCAACAGAGTTTTTCGGTAAACACGTTTTTGGTTTTCCGTTTTCCCATTTTTCAGTTTTCTGAAAAACTGAAAAATATTTCTGTTAATAAACAAGTCCTAAACACTCAGTGACATCATAATCAAGGTCTTTCTTTGATACTTTGAATCATATCAAGAAGTTTGGAGTCGAGTCCATCCCTTAAGATGGATCTAAGTATCACCTCACAAGTAGTTGTATCAGGTGCTAGTCCATGGGTCAACATGTCACGCAATAGAAAAACAGCCTCACAGTGGACATTCCATTTTACAAATACACGAATGAGAATATTGTACGCCACGCTACTAGGCACACAACCATTCTCCACCATTAGCCTGAACAGATTTTTTGCATCTTCTAGTCGGTCATGATTACAAAGTCCACTGATCATGGTAGTATAGGTCACTTCATTTGGTTTCAAACCCTTTGAAGGAAGGGCATTGAATAGGTCCAGAGCAGAAACATACTTTCCGTCTCCTAGAAGTCCATTTAAGACAATATTATAGCACCTTATATCAGGCATCAAGCCATTGACTTCCATCATATTCAGCAGATCAAGCGCATGAGAAACACAATGGTTCTTAACAAAGCCATCCAGAAGAACATTGAAGGTGATAAGATTTACACATTCACTCCTAACTGCCATGTCATTTATAAGCTTCATAGCATCATCCACTCTCCCAACACTGAAGAGACCGTGTAGTATATTACAGTAGGAAGCCTCATTAGGTTTCAACCCTTTTTGTGGAAGATTCTTAAAAACTTGAATGGCCTTATCAACAATCTCTTTTTTGCAATATAAGTTCATTAAACTGTTGTAAATGTGGAGATTAGGGTTGCACCCCATACGTGTCATTTTTTTAGGAGACTTTCAGCTTCACTGATTTCTCCTCGCAAACAATATCCATCCATTAATGCACCATAGGTGACTATTTCGGGTTGCACCCCAGCTCTAACCATTGTCTCTATGACTTCAACAGCATCTTTAATCCATCCCTTCTTGCAGAAGCCATCAACCAAAATGTTGTATATTTGCACATCAAAAGCAATCCTGTACTCCAACATTTGCTTCAACATTCCTTCAACCTCGTTCCATCGGTCAGCATTGCAAAGAGCGTGTAATAACAAACTATAGGTTACCACATTAGGAGCAACGCCTTTGTCAATCATCTTAGCCAATAGCGTGATGCCATCATCCACTTTTTTTTCTTTACAAAAACTGTCAATAATGGAGTTATACATAAAAACATTAGGCTTGATATGATTCTCTTTCCCCTGTCAGTAACTCCTGCTTTGCAAAGACCTTTAATTACTATCCTTAACATAATTTCATCTGGCTAACATAGCTTCACAGTAAATATCTTCTGGAACAGATCACAGGCCTCTCGAATCTTACCTTCGACGAAGAACCCCTTCAGTACTATGCCGATGACAGGGGCATCAACCAAGAAACCAGACTTGATAAATCTGCCTAAAATTGAAAGAGCTAAATCAACTCGGCCCAAAGAGCAAAGAGAATACATGACTCTGACGAATATGAAATTATCCATTTGAATGGGCTGAACACACATATCATTGAACAATGAAACAGCATCCGAGAAGCAACCAAGCTTTATCACTGCATTCAAGAGCTGGGTGAATTCATGCACAGAAGGCCGGGGTCGAATTCGAACCATTTGATTGTATAAAGCAAGGGCGTTACTAAGCTTGTTGACGTTCTTAAACCTAGATCGGCGACTTTGGAAATAGAACTCGCGGATCGTATTACAATTACTATATGATTGGGAGGTAAAAGTCGCTACATTATGCGAAATACTCGAGTTAATAAATGAAAATGGGTAACTCAAAAAACTTGAAACGCAGGTATGTGATGGAATGCCTAAAAGTTGAAACGCAATTAGTCTTCATTTCAGTAGGAACTCAAAAACTATGGTTTTGAATGGCAACCGGCTGGTAGTCTGAATCAGAGCTCTTCGTTACCAAAGCTTCTGCTTTAGATACTCTGAAGCTAACAAGATTGAAGAGTTCATCCGTGATTGGGAGTGACGGAATCTGATTCAAGTTACAGCGGACCCGGGCCGGGCCAGGGCGGGCTTTTTTCCCAGGTACTTGGGCCCGGAACCGGCCCGGGTTGATACCGGGTCGGGGCCGGGCCGGGCCGGGTCCGGTTCAATGTTTATTTTTTTTTTGACTTTCTTGTTATCCCCGACCCCCCACTCACCCCCACCTCCCAAACCTCCCCTAAACACTCAGTCCTACCCTAGGAAAAGAAAAAAATTGAAAAAAAAAGCCCGGGCCCAGCCCGAACCGTCCGGGCCGGTTCAACAAAAATTGGGCCCGACCCCGGCCCGCCCGACCCGCCAAAACGGGCTAAAAGCCCGGAACCGGCCAACCGGCCCCGGGCCGGTCCGAGCCCGCACAGTAGCGGGCCGGTCCGGTTCCGGGCCGGTTCGGCCCGACCCAGTCCATCCCTATTTCCAGCTCGTTAGTGCTATGGCTGTCCCATGGCATTTTAATTTTTTTTTCTCTTGACATTTCTATATTCTCTCCTTTATTTAAAAGGTTTCTTTTGACTTAACCACAATTTAAGAAAATGTTTACGCTGTTTTGTTTACCAAATAAAAAAGAGTGCATTTTTAATGGACAAGCCGAAAAGGAAAATGAGATCTTTATTTAGGAACGAAGGAAATAATTTTTTGTGTATGATCCATTTAAAAAAAATATACTAGTATGAATTTTTTAAATTTTTTATGATCCTTAATATGATATCAATATTGCATACTTTATCTATTTTTTAAATAAATGCAACCGTTTACTTTTAGCATCAGTGCACACTTTTGACCATTAATAAATACGAGTACTTCATATTATTTTCTATTAGTAATAAAAAAATAAAAATAAAAATCAGATTTTGAAAATTTACAATGAGACAAATTTAACATTTTTAAAAATAATTTATTAATACATTAATAAATAAAGTGTACTCAAAATATAACATGCGAATACTATAGAATTCAACATATTGCATTTAGAAATGGGAAGTACATAAAATTAAAAAACGGCTAAAGATATACTACCTCCGTTCTCTTTTAATTGCAACATTGAACTTTTTACACTATTCACATATTCTACTTTGACTATATTTTATTAATTAATGTATTATAAATTAAAGTATTTAAAAATATTGTTAAATTCACCTCATTATAAATTTTAAAAATATGAATTCATAAAATTTTTCACTAATAGGGAATGAAAGATATTAATGGTCAAGCTTGTGTGTTGGCAAACGTGAAATGTTGACTGTTTCAATTAAAAAGGAACAGAGGAAGTACTCCGTATACTCCTATTTATGAAAAATAGATTTTTTTACAATTTTTTAATATGCAATATTGAAACCCCAAGAATCCAAGATAGTGTGCTCATGATTGAATATCATAGTAATAAGCTCGATTTGACTTGTGTATATGCTTAACATCCGTACTTTATTCTAGCTTTGTGTAAATGCTAGAATGCCCTCACAGGTTATAATACAATGTACAGTATTCTGCTGGAATTCGAGTACATCTTTTATCCTTGCATGAGTGGACTGTGGACGTATACACTTCAGATGTAAGAGATGAGGGTATAACAGTTATTTAACAAGCTGAGGCATTATCATCACTCTCGTCTTCTAATAAGAATGGTATATAAGTTCATTCTTCATACACAGCAAGGGAATGGCTTTTCAGAAGCCCAAGAATTTGGATGACTGTTCTAACAAAGGGTTCAAAGCACTAGGAGAAAATTTTCTTGCGAAAAGGAAACAAAGATGGGTTGGCTGGTTATTGTAGATGCACGTCTTCTCAAGCATCTTCTTGAAAAACTGATCTGTAATGTCATCCTTACCGAAGGAAGCAGGGTGGGGGCCACCTCTGGACCAATCGACCCACGTAAGGCTCCGGTTTGCCAGGAGGCCCGGAGACTCCAAGCTGAGCATGGTTGGGAAGTAGTGTTCATCCACATAACAAGCCGGCCTGCAAAACTTCTCAAACTTGGGGTAGTAAATGTCGTCTTTGATAATGTCAACAGCTAACTTTCTGTTGACTTCAAACCACTGGGACCCTTTGCGCCAATCGGTTAGGTTAACTGTGGGTGCCATATTAGCATCGTAACGCCCTCTTCCGTAAGGGCTTAGGTCATCGACTGCACCCATGAAGCTGTGCCTGGATCTTGATATGTAGTGGTAAACAATGCTGAAGTTGTGAAGAGGAATGCATGCCTCTGAAAGGAGGACAAACCATTCATTTGATATGTCAAGTAGAGCGTTAGCAAGAAGTCTCCTTTCGGCATCACACATGCTCATCTTTCCCCACTCTGCCACCTGCATTCATATTATTTCAACAGCTATGGTTTAGTATAAGGTGCCTCGGGTAAGTGAGGGAGTATGAAGGAAAAACAAATGTACCAAACATTTAAAATTTAGAAATAAGAAAGTAAAAGAAAACTTGTGAAAGCATAATAGAGCAAAACGCAAAGGCACGAAACAAATAACATGCCAGTTCGAATGCCAGAGAAATTCACAGTGCTCATTACTTCATCTGTATGGTCTCACCCATCAATAAATGATAAGAGTTACCAGCAAATAGGCATAAAAAGGACCATGTGGCTAAACTTATACTTTTCCATTTCCATGTTGATTTCACATGGTTTTTGAAAAAGTGAAAACTGTGTGGTTGATACTCCCTTTGTCTCATTTTATAGGTCTCAATTGCTTTCCGCACTGATATTAAGAAAAAACGAATGATATTTGGTTGATTTCCTATTTTACCATAAAAAATTAAGTTAATAAGTTAAGTATGTGAAAATTTGTGTAAATAGGTCAAAATGCCAAACCAATAAAGGAAAAGTTGAAAAAATTAGAAAGTTAGTGAAACATGAAATGGGGAAGTGAACATAACTGAGGGACAAACTAAAAAAGAAAGTGAAATTTTAAAAGGGGAAAGAGGGAGTATTTATTTAAGAGAAGAAAACAATGGTATCTTTTACTTAAAAGCATGAGAGAGACGAAATAGGAAAACTTAAAGATAAAATACGAACAAAGAGACTATGTAAGGTGCAAGCGAGTTCAGTGTGTTGAATTGTTGACAAACCATAGCATATGATCAAATGTGGCTAAAATTATATGCAATAAGGTCAGTAAGTGTAACAAAAAACAAGTATACAATCTACCAGATCAACATCTTAACTACCAAAAAGAAGACTGACACACCAACAACTCAATCCTCCATCACAATGCAACAACGCAGAATCACACATTCATAACAAATGTCACCACTAGATGGCATCCAGTGCATTATTATCAAGTTTAAAAGAAGATAAATAAAATGCCAGTACATCATATTGAGAAAAGCTGAAAAGAATAAGGGTGATGGTCATGGTCAAGCCATAGTTGGAATGAAGATAGAAGTGTGCTATGACTTAAAATGACTTCCTAGAAAAATTCAATCCAACCCACCAATACCTCCAATTCCATCATGGTATAAAATGATATACTCCATAATTTATGTTTTGCGTACAATTAATGCATCTAAAACGATATAAAAGATTAAAAGGTTCTAGAAAGGCAAAATTCAGAACTTAATTGCACTGTAAAAGTATCTTTCATGACATTTTTCAACCTCAGAATACAAAAGAATGCACCATAAAAAGAAAAATTACCTGGCTAGGTATTTGTCGAAGGTAAAACACAGATGACGTGTTGAAATTGGGCATATAAGATGGCAAAGAATGAACGTAGATTGAATAGAGCCTCTCATTCCCCTTAAAAAACTTCTCCCACAATGGGGCCAAAGGAAGAGGTCCTCTAGTCAAGAACATGAATGCAATCTTGGGTTTTCTCTTAAAAGGATAAGCTTTCACTTGAGGAACGAAAGAAGCCCGCCATAATAGCTCAGTGTCATTTAAAGTATGCAAAAGACTTGAAGGAGGCCTAACCCAACTCCCCAAACTACTTATTTCTTCATAACATGTTTCATACCCGGATTGTAACATTGGAACAGCTGTCTGGACTCCAAAAAAACGAACCATGTACATACTAAGAATTGAAAACCCAACACAAATGCCCAAAAACAAAAGAAGAAACTGAAGTAATCTTAGTGGTAGAGGCTTATGTTGATTTGTTACTCTAGCAGAAATGTCTTTCCCCTCTTCCATTAGTCCCCTTGACTGCATCTTTACTTCCCCTCAATCAACTCCGACTTCTGAGCAATACTTATTTTCCTTAGGGTAATAGTTCCAAATCCCAGATTTTAAATTTCAGCAGAAAAAAGAACAAATTTCTACAAGCTACAAAACTACCATAGAGATTTGATTTATAAGTCTGGGTTATAAAGGAAAAACATAGTTAGAACAGAATAGGATCTGAAAGCTTATCACACCTCATGGAACATTACTCGGGATTGAATCAAGCATTGATCTTTTCTCAAGAAAGCTCCCACCCCAGATCACACAAAATCAAGACAATTATAAGATTGCAGAAGAAAAGCCCAATTTTGAAGACTATGCGGCTGATTCACTTGCCAAGGAGACGGAAAACAGAAGCATCCGTGAGAATTGAGCTGAAACAAGGGGCAGTAACACACACACATTCAGCTCAATAAATGTGCGAGTGTGGGTGTGACATAGAAAAGGGCTTTATGAGGGAAAAAAGAAATCAGTTAAGGGAGTAAAGAGAAAAACGGAATCTTGACTTCACACAGTATCTGCTTTTGTCGCTTGATTTTCGCCGTTAAACATGATATGGCGTTGAAAACACTGATTGATTAATATCTAACCAGATTTCTATCGCCGTGAGAATTATGAATAGGGTCCGGGATTTGGGAGAGATTAGAGAAGAGAGCTAGAGAGGAAGGAAAGTATGGTACTGAGTGATTTGGTAGCGTGGGAGTGATGAGGGAAGAAGCTACGGGAGTTTTAAACTACTCCATAAAGGATGGTTTACCAGGCCTGATTTTGAAACTCCATACTTCATTTCGCCAAAAAAAAAACTC